AACTACTTGTTTGTCACAGAAAGAGGAAATTTTTAAAATGTATAATGTTAACCCTAAGTGAACAGGGAGGCTGGGTAGGATTACAGTGAAGGGATAAATGAGGTACTATTCAATTTCTGCAATGCACTTTTTTTTTTTTTTAAGATTTTATTTATTTGACAGAGGGAGAGATCACAAGTAGGAAGAGAGGCAGGCAGAGAGGGGGGGGGGGAAGCAGGCTCCCTACTGAGCAGAGAGCCCGACCCCAGGATCCTGAGATCATGACCTGAGCTGAAGGCAGAGGCTTAACCCACTGAGCCACCCAGGCGCCCCTCTGCAATGCACTTTTAACACTAAATACTTTTTAAAAGTTCTGCCAGTTTAAAACACTCATTGGCCTTTGTCTAACTTTTCAATTGTTACCCATGGTAGAAGAAAAAGAACTGTCCTAAAAGGTCTTGGCTCCTCTTTCTTTCTTACTAATATTTTATTTATTTATTTATTTATTTGAGGGGCGCCTGGGTGGCTCAGCGGGTTAAAGCCTCTGCCTTCGGCTCAGGTCATGATCCCAGGGTCCTGGGATCGAGCCCCACATCGGGCTCTCTGCTCAGCAGGGAGCCTGCTTCCCTTCCTCTCTCTGTCTGCCTCTCTGCCTACCTGTGATCTCTGTCTGTCAAATAAATAAATAAAAATCTTTTAAAAAAAATTATATTTATTTATTTGAGAGCGAGAACACAAGCAGTAGGGAGGGGCAGTGGGAGAGGGAGAAGCAGACTCCCTGCTGAGCAGGGAGCCCTCCATGAGGCTTGATCCCAGAACTCTGGGATCATGACCCAAGCAGAAGGCAGACATTTAATCCACTGAGCCACCCACAGGCACCCCAAGGTCTTGGTTTCAAGTTCAAAGGCAATGTAATTTAGAATGATCACTCTTGATTTCAAATCGAGACTAAATGAAGGGGCACCTGGGTGGCTCAGCGGGTTAAGCCTCTGCCTTTGGCTCAGGTCATGATCTCAGGGTCCTGGGATCGAGCCCCACATCAGGCTCTCTGCTCGGCAGAGAGCCTGTTTCCCCCTCTCTCTCTGCCTGCCTCTCTGCCTGCTTGTGATCTCTCTCTCTGTCAAATAAATAAATAAAATCTTAAAAAAAAAAAAAAAAGACTAAATGAATTCTTAAAATTCATTATTATGTAATATATATACTTAAGTCTTACTAATGAGACTTAAGTATTGCTGTTGTATATACAACTGACCATTGAACAACACAGGGGTGAGGGGCACTGACCCCGGCACAGTCCAAACTCCATAGTAACTTCTGACTTCCCCAAAACATTATTCATAGCCCACCGCTGACCGGGTGCCTTACTAATAACATAAACTGCTGATTAGCATATATTTTGTACATTATGTGCATTATATACTATATTCTTACAATAAAGCTAGAGAAAAGAAAATGTTAGATAAATCCTAAGAGAAAATACATTTACGGCACTGTAATGTGGTCTTTGAAAAAAAATCCACATATAGGTAGACACACAGAATTCAAACTCCTGTTATTCAAGGGTCTACGGCAGCTGCAAAGGTACCTATCTATGTCTGTGTGTGCTCCATTTTTTTTTTTTTTAATCAATGGACCAAGACTGTCTCTAAATTTAGAATAAAAGCTCCACAAGAAAGAAATCTTTGAATATTTCATTCACTAATGTCTCCCAAGGTCCTAGAACAGTGCCTGGCTGGCAGAGCAAAGGCATTCATTACATACTTGTGAATATTGCTCAAAATGGTTCAAATACTGTAACATTATATGCAACCAACTACAGCTCCTTGAGAAGTAGCCTTCACACAATGTTGCACAAATCAACTGATACTGTATCCAAAAGCAAACTGACAATGCATATAATAAAACAAAACATTTTACACAAGAGCTCTTAAGGTCCTGAAGTTTAAAGCTTGCCAAGAAACTGGCAAAAAACAAAAATGTCACCAACACAACCAAAATTTTCAACAAGCACAAACTCTTACACTTATTTCATAGACAATTCAATTCGAAAAGAGCCATGAGGCTTCAACAACTAAATTTTAAGAATTTCACTTAAAAACCAGTGCATTTACTACAAAATTTAATTTCCAGTATTATAAAGCAGGCTTGACCTTTCTTTTATCAATTGGCCTAACTAGGCCAAAAGAATATTGCTAAGCAATATACCTCTGAATATACCTAAAATTGCTAACTCTGTTGCTGTTTCCCACTCAAAAACACAATGTAAATACTTATAAAACTGGTCTTTAGTTTTCCCTATTAAAAGCCATCATGAGCATTTAACTGGGAATCAGACTGTGTTTATTGGGTTATTTATGGGGTACCCTTTTGGTACTTGATTATCTGCTACTCACTCATGATGACGATTAGCTGGTTACATTTTTTTTTTTTTTAAGATTTCATTTATTTATTTGACAGAGAGCGAGAGAGCACAAGCGGGGGAGCAGTAGAGGGAAGGGAGAGACAGGCACGATCCAAGGACCCTGGGATCATAACCTGAGCCGAAGGCAGATGCTTAACCAACTGAGCCACCCAGGTGCCTGTGGTCACTTTCTACTCTGTTTTGGGCCTCAGTTCTCCCTTCTGTAGAATGAGGGACCTGTGTTAAAACAATGGTTCCTCGCTGTCTTTTTCAACCCTTTGAGAATCTGGTGAAAGCTATAGGTGACCTCTCCTTAACAATGCACATACATGTGTATATAACAATTTTATGAACAGCTTTTTATAATAGCAAAAGATTGGAAACAACCTAAATGTCTACCAACTGATGGTTAAGTAAATCGTTACAGCCATTCAACAAATTCCTTGCAGCTGTAAGTAAGATAAAGAAACCTTTCATATACGGATATGAAAAGATTTCCATCATGTATTGTTACATGAAAAAAAGCAAGTTACAGTGTATACAATATGCAAACTTTTGTGTAAAAAGATCAAAAACTATACCTGAATTTTTATATATAAACATAAACTGGAATAAACGAGAATTTTGATGTTCGTGGAAAATGAGTAAAGGGGTAGGAGGAACCTTTCCATTGCATACTTTGTTATATTTTTGTTTGCATTATGTCAATACACAGCATACTAAAATTTTAAAGTAAAAAAATTGTTTATAACTTCCAGAAGTCCAGGCAACCCACTGAAGCTAGAAGATAAATCCGAAACCCTGCTCAGCAATATTCTTCTATAATGACTTGACTTAATAAGTCTTTAATTATATACACTCACACAAGAACATTTAAGGAAAAACATTTTTCATCACAGTCCTCGTAAACATATAAAGTAATTGGTGGATACTCAGTGATTCAATAGATCCTAATTTGGAATCTCATTTTATATAATTTTCCTTAATTATGATACACTTTATGACAAATTTCTTCAAGGAAAAAAGTTTGCACAAATTCTTGAGCCATACTCCCTCTCATGGATCAAATTTCAGACTATTTCACTGAGAAGTCCAGACTTTAGAAATAAGAATACAAATTTCTATCCTATTTGACCATATAATCAATAGTACTAGTACGGAGACATGAGAAATGCTTTTCTTTCCCATAATCTCAGAATTTGAAGCAAATTAAAGAGCATATGAGAACATCATACAGCACCCATAAATTAGATGACATCTGAGGAGACCTTCTTGCCTGATTTGAGCAGCAATCAGATGGAACTGGGTTTTCATCCTTAAGGCAAATTATTTAACCTCTCTGGGTCTCAGTTTCATCTGTAAAATGGAAATAAAAGTACCTATCTCATAAGGATGTTGTGGAGCTTAAAAGGAGTAACAAGGAACACAGAAAATAAGACTTAGAAATAAAAAGTAAGGTATCCTAGGACAGTGGCAGGTGTCTGCTCAAATCACAACAAACTGCATTCTGGAACCTGTAGTTTCTGGGGACTGCACTTTCATACACAAGCAACGCCTTCTTTTCCCTACTGAAAATAACACATGGCAGAATTCCCAACACAGAAAGTGCAAATATCTGGCCTTTCCTAATTATGCTTCTTGAAAATCTCCTCCTAGGCAAACATTTCTTATCAAATAGCTGTAGATGTTGTATCAATTGGATGTGTCATAGAGAGTCTGAAGTTACAAGAGTTTTGTTTTGTGGTTTTTACAGGACACTTTCTATGTCAAGCTCAGCACCAAAGAGTGGCAGGCTATGCAATGTAAAGAAAGGCAAGAAGTTTAAAGCAACAGTCTTGCAACAGACTTTTAACTCCCAGGATGATAGCAGGAAACCTATACTGCCATAGAGGTAGAGGCAGCCCCTGCCAACCAATCTCCATTTACGAAACTTTTATACCCCATCCAGTTTTGTTTTCTTTTGTTCCAGCACTACAGGAGCTTATTAATTTCTGGAATTATTATAAATATAATTAACCCTGATTTACTGCTTCCTCACTATGTGCCAAGCTCTGTTCTAAGCATGCATTTTTCAAGACTTTGTGAAAACTGCACATGTGAGTTCATTCTCTCAACCTACTTTACTAAACTCCAGTCTGAAAAGCTCCCTTCACATCCTCAAGTGCAACCCGTCCCCTTAATTCCGGATACTCCATACCTCTCACTGATCCATTCAGGCCCAGGGGCCACTTCTTTACACGCAGTTCGGCCCCCAGCTACTCACCCAACACTAAACCAAGCACTTCTCTGATCCTCCAGGGCCCCTGCAAAGTACGGAACCCTTCTCCCACACACCATTCCAACCTGGCCCTAACTTGTTCCAAGAATGCTGTTTCCCTCCAAACTTCTGACTTCCGTAAGGCGCGGGATCCCCCCACCGGTTCCAAATCCATTCCACCCGTACTTCATTCTGAAGTTCAAAATTCACAAACAGATGCACCTGGACAGAGCCCAGTTCCAACCCCACGAGAACTCTATACGGCCGCTCGAGTACGGCCTGGGACCCCCCACCCCCTAACCAGGCCAGGCCGGGCGCGCTCGGCCTCGCTCTGGACCCCAAGGGGAGGAGGGGAAGCTCCACCTGGCTCTGCGGCCCCGGCGCGCGGCTCCTGCTCCGGCCTGGGCCCCGCGGCGGCCGCGCCCCCGTCCCGGCGCGGGCGGCAGCGCTCCGGCTGGCCGCGGCGGGCGCGCTCGCCCTGCACCTCCGCGTCGGCCTGGCCGTCGTCGCGGGCCCGACGGCGGGCCCAAGTAGGGCCGCGGGCTCTGCAGCTGGGGCAACCCGGGCCCGCCGCGTCGGCGGCGCGCTGGGCGCAGCCTCGGCACAGCGAGTGGCCGCACGGCAGGGCCGCCGCTTCCCCCGGGGTCTCCAAGCACCCGGCGCAGCCCGACTCCTCCGGCCGCGGCGGTGGCGGCGGCTGCAGCAGCGGTGGTGGCAACACCAGCAGCGCGGGGCCAGAGGCTGCGCCCGGGGCCCCAGTCTTGGCTGCCGCCATCTCGTCACAGCGGCCCCGTCGGCCCCGCCGACTGAGAGCCGCCGCTGCCGCCGCGGAAGAGGCCCGCGTACTCGGACCTGCCGCCGCCATCTTGTTTCCCGTTTGAAGGGAGAGTCCGTTGCGAGGGAGAAGAGTAGAGGGCGGGGCAGCGCGGCGGGCGGTGCTAGCTACATATTTATGAGGGGGCGGGGCTCCAGGGAGCCCGGGGCCGGTTTTCTCCGGGTCTGATTGGCGAAAAGCGGAAGCTCATTGATATTTATGAGTTACCCTATATGCAGTCTTCAGCCTCGCCCTCCAGTCTGCAATTTCCTCTTATTGAACCAGATGAAGTTGAGGACTGAGGGGATTTGGAAATTCTGAGCGATATTAAACTTTATGAAGTAATTACATGTATTTATCCTGCAATACCCTAATAACTAAAGCTAAAGTGAGTGGGGAATATGTGACTTATCCAGAACCTTCCCTCAGTGCTTCATTTGATGTGAAGGTACATGTTGTGACCAGGCCTACTGTGACCAGCAGCTACCAAAAATAACAGCTTCTTGTCAGTCCTCATCTCCATATCCTCCCTCTCCACATCCTTCCCGGAACTCCCTTCCCTTGTCTGGCAAAACCATACTTTCCTGGTTTTTTCTCAACACCTCAGCTCTTTCTTACTCTGTTGAGCCCTCCACCTTAAATGTGGGTATTCCTCTAGGCTCAGGCCTCAGCCCTATTCTCTCTTTGGATGCCACCTCACCCTCACCTCACACTTTCTTCCAGCTGAAACCCCCAAATTGATATCTGCAGTCCAGACCTCTTGACTCCAGCACCGTATATTCAACTACTTGATGGAAACATAATCTTGGATGTCTGGATTCCTCATATAAAAAACTAAAGTCACTGTCTTCCACCCTACTTCCAAAACAGCTTATTTCTTGCTCCCCATATCCTATTAAAGGTACTATCCTCCCAGTTCCTCAAGCTCTAGACCTAGTGTGTTCTTTACTTTTCCCTCATCTCCCACATCTGTCAGTTTCTTATTCTCCCAACAAGATGACTATTTTCCCACCTATCTTCTCCTCTTCATCCCACTCCCACTGCCCAGTTCATGTCTCATCATCTCTCACCTAGATTAGTGCAGTAGCTCCTATAGGTTGTCTCCCTGCTCACAGCCTCTCTTCCTCCAATCCATCCTCTACAGCTTCCTAAATGACAGCTGTGACCGTGCCATCCCTGCTGGGGTTAGTCACCAAATGAGGTGCTCAGACTTTGATGCCAGCCCCCTTTCTAGATGCAGAGGGGATGGAGGGGGGAAAAATGGCTCCCCTCTGACAGACAGTTCTACTGTAGCAATTCTCCTGCTCTTTGCTTTCTTTGCACAAGGTAGATCCAGAACAGTAGGACATTAAGCAAATGGCATTTCCTGTTGGGAATCTTTATAGGAAAGCATACATTCTATAAGGAGAGCAAAATCCAAAAAGCAAGACGATGGAATGGAGAGCCTCAGAGGCCCTGGCTTTTCATGAGACAGCCTGGAAACAGTGTCAGAACTGGTGGTAAGCCAAAGTGATTGGTGGAAGTCAGAGAGCAGGAAAAAGAAAGTCAACTCCCAGGATGAGAACCAGATGGCTAAAGCACATTCAAGAATTGAAGAAGAGCCTTTGGGTAATTGAAACAAGGTCTTGTGTGCACAGAGGCCCAGTCTTTCCGGAATTCTGGCTAGCACAGAAGTATGGCTTCAGCTGGACTGTCCTTTATCTAGGGATCCTCCTCATTTCACTCCCCAGCTGAGATTCTTGAATATGCTTTGCCCACATTCTGACAAGGAGGCCTGTGGTCCAGAGATCAAGCCAACTACAGTTTGAAATGGGGCCCTTTGTTGGGGGGCGGGGTGCGTGGGTGATTCAGTTGGTCAAGCGGCCAACTCTTATTTCAGCTTGGGGCATGATCTCGGCGTCCTGGGATCAAGCCCTGCTCAGGCTCTGTGCTCACTGGGGAGTCTGCTTCAGGATACTCTCTCTCCTGGTGCCCTTCCCCAGCTTGCTTGAGCATGCGCATGTGCACAAATGCTCTCTCTCTCTCTTAAAAAAATAAGGAAAGATGGGGTTATGGACATTGGGGAGGGTATGTGCTATGGTGAGTGCTGTGAAGTGTGTAAACCTGGCGACTCACAGACCTGTACCCCTGGGGCTAGTAATACATTATATGTTTATTAAAAAATAAAAAATAAAAAAGGAAAGAAAGAAATAGGGCTCTTGGTCTGGGCTCACTCTTGACAGCTTGGGGCTCTTAATCTGAAGCCTATTTACTATTGGAAGAACTGAACCATAGGCATTCACTTTGCTTTCTTGGATACAAATAAAGACAGAAAACTTCCTTTTACAGAAGGAAAAAATAAGCGATCTGAGTAGCACTGGACCAACAGCCAGGAGATCAAGGATCAGTCCTGGCCTGTTACACCTCTCATTAACTCACTGTGTGATTTCAAACAGGTAACTTCTCTGTGGGCCTCAGTCTCCTCATTTATTGGAATTCAACAGTTCTCAACCCAGGATGCACCTCAGAAAGGCACACACACACACACAACAACAACAAAGTCCCACCTCAGATCTACTGAACCCCAAAACTGAAGATGGAATACCAGCAGGTATATTTCCTTAATGCCATAGGAATTCTTATGAACACTCCCAGATAAAACCACTACAACAGATCAATTCAAAGGTCTCTTTTAGCTCTTCCATTCTAGAAGTCTGACTCCCAATTTCTCCCAGTCTCTTCTTTCCTCTATGCCGTTGCCAGAGTAATCTTACTAAAGCAGTAGCAGGGACAGAAGGCAAAGCAAACCTAAGAAATCTGGAGAGTTGTTCACTGTGTGGGAAAATGAGGGTGATAAGGATGATTCTAATGTGGTAAGTCTAGGAGCCTGAGATTATGATCACAATTGACAACTGACAAAAACAGAGTAAGTGGAAAGGAAAAGGAAAGATGAGGGCATGGTAGACATTTTGCTTTATTTTCGTTTACCACCAGTGTTTCAAGTCCTTCTTACCTGGGGGAGTGCCCCATTCTATACAGTATCTGCAGTATAGCTAAGACGAGGGAAGCTGAAGCAGGGAGATAGTCTCCCCGGCCCCCACTGGCTAGAACCCGACCTATGACCCAGGCTCGGCCACCTAGCCACACCTCTCTAAACTTTGAATCTTCAGGGAATGACACGAGACCTACTGGCAAGTTTAGAATTATTCAGAGCAACAGAGACAGCAGGTGTCTAACTACAGTGGGTCCCTCATAGAGGTTGGGAGTATGGGGGTCCCTACCGTAGTGATGATGGCCATTATGGAATGGAATGTTTGTTCCATTCCAATGGAAAGTTTGTTCCTGAGGCACAAACTTGGTTGTGGTGCCTGCTGCCTGGCCTTCCTAGGTTACAACCCATTTTCCATATCCAACTCTCCAACCTTCCTGTCAATTCTGTATCCTTCCAGTAAATTCTCTTTTTTCTTGAACTTCTCACAATTTCAGGCGTTTGCATCCAAGTACTCTGAAAGAGATACTGGTCTGTTGTTCTTTAAGTGTCACCGGAAAATGGTTGACAAGGGTGCTTTCTGAGTACAAAACCATGTAAAAGCTTAAACTGACAGCCTAGAGTAGAATGCGCCAAAGCTGCCCGTGTTCTTGTTTCTAAGCTCCCACCTGTATCACGGAGCACCAAGGGAAGAGGGACCCACAGATTCACTTTGGTGCAGTCATCAAAGATGCCAACTGGAACAGTAGCAGTGCAACCTCCATACCAAGGCTCTCCAGTTGCTTTTGCTCTGCCACTCCTACCATATTTTCTGGGGATTGCATTGCTGCCCAAATTCCCTGCTCTCCTTCTCATAATGTGCCCACAGTTTCACCTCACCCCTAACCCTCCAGCACTCCTCATACACATCACTGTAAACCTCCCCTTGTCCCAGCAACCAGAAGCTCCAGCTTCTTCCAGCTGGACTGAAAGACTCAGATGTGAAGCAAGGCCATTCGGCCTCCTTTGGGGGGAAAGGCTCTTTCTCCCTGCAGGCCCAAGAATGCCAGCCCAGGTGCTGAGCCCATCCTGAGGCCTCACACATCTAGGGAGGAAGAAGGATCAGACCATACCAATGTCACCTCTCCCCTACCCTCCACATCTCTTGGGATGACATCATCTTCCTGTTTTCTTCCTCCCTCAAACCAGATTTCCCCTTGAGATGTGGAATCTTCCCCTTCCCTTTAAAGATTCTTGCTACATTCTTACTATTATTCATCTTCTGTTATTCCCTTTTGTTTTGGAGAAAGAAGTGGTTCTTTTTGTAAAGTGGTTCTTTTGTAAAGCTAACTCTCCTGTTATCTTTCCCCGCCTCCTCCAGACTCTTTGTAAACACTCTACAAATACAAACAAGACTTGGTCCCTGTACTCCTGAGGTCACAGCCTAACTGAGAAGCAAAAGTATAAGTAAATAATTACAACAGAAAAAAAATTGTAACAGAATTGCATGCTCTGTAACTGAAACACATATAGGGTAATGAAGAAGCAGAAAGCAAGAGGGAGTGGGAGGAAGGTTTCACAAAAGAGGGGGACATTCGAGCTCTGTTCTGGAGGACAAGAAGTTCACCAGGTAGACAGAGAGGGTGGCCTTCCTGGCATTCCTGTGTGGGACTCATAAAGAATTCAATGTGTCTAGAACACTGGATTAGACATTAGGCTAGAAAATTAGAGAATAATAGGAACTAGAATTTATTGAACAACTACCACACGCTAGGAACATGCTAAGCAATGATATTCTATCTCATTGAGACCTAAAATAACCCTGTGAGGTATGTATGATAGTCTCTCCATTTTACAGAGAAACTCAGGCTATTGGGGGACTGTTGAAAGATTTAACATTTGGACCACAGGAGTAATGTGGATGTGTATTTTATAAGAATAACTCTCAATCCTATCCTTATCAGTGAGGAATAAAAATAATCTAAGCAGCCTTCCTTCTACCCCCTCGGAGTTGGGAAATCACTGGACAAAGAACAGGGCAGGTACCATTCATTTATTCAACAAATCTCTTTTGAGCACCTGTTATGTAGCAGATAATACAGAT